CCGGGTCCAGGACTCGAACGGCGGTCAACTACATGAGAGTCCAGCGACATAGCCATTATGCCAACTGCTGGTCCCAACCATGCCTTGTCTTCAAGCCTGTCACTCAGATAAATGCTTACTTTCAATCTGGTCTAAAGCAGCCGTAGGAAATAACTGTTCTGCTCTGCTCTATTATCAGTAGCAAGAATACCAACCTAGCCGGTAGAGTACCTTAACACAGAGCCATGAGGTCACCAGAAAGTTGTGACAGATTTGTCCAGGGTTTTCTATGCAGGAATGTGTCATCGCTTTCCCAATGACCCAACAATTCACTAGATTGATCTCCTTGGGCCATTACAGAGGACTTTTCTAACAATGCCATTCCTAGTTCTACTTGGGTCGGAGGAGCCACCAAATTACAAAGTCTACGTTAGTGACGTGGGCGGGAAGCTTTACTCAGGCTGGGTCCTTCACGCATGCTCCTGGGGTCTCCCCAGACCAGCCTTCAGTCTCTCCTGCCTCGTCGTCTTTCTCGCTCCCCACCCAGGACAGTGAGCACACAGGCCGGCCGCGGCGGAGGGCGGAGCTGCAATGAGCGTTACCTGGTGGGATCCGGAAGGCGGGCTCTTTACGAGGCCCTCTGTGTCAGAGGGGGACTTCCGTGGAGCCTGCTTTACCGGCGACAGGCTCTCTGAGGTACTGCAGCTGATGATTGGCAATGTGGAGAACAAATGTAAAACAAAACAAACAAAATAAAAATTAAAATAGATGGAAACAAAAGTACAGGAATGCGAGTGATGGCAAGAGGAAGCAGCAGGTGTATAAAACAAAGGACGACAGGACGACGGGCAGCAGACGAGCACGGGCTCACAGCTGTCTCCCACCCTGACGCTCGCTGGTTGGTCTGGGTCGCAGAGCCCTGCGCTGGCTCCTGGCAGGACCCCCGGTGCAGTCTCTTCAGCCCGGCTTGCCGTAGGGGCTGAGCTTCCATCCTGCCTTTGGGACCTCCTCTAAGATCATGGTTTTAAGGAGCAAGCGCCACCTTCTACATGGTTCAAGCACTTTGCTCCCATTACAGTGAAGGTGAACCTCGTCCAGATGTGCTTTTGCAAGGACAGATGCACATCTGGCTTGCAGTCTCAGGGGGCTCAGACTGCCGCTCCCTAACTCCCCACAGTCTGTTTGCCTACAATACTACATCATCATCAGCAAAGCCCCAGGAGTCTGGAGGGATGAGTGACTACAGGACGCTCACCACACACAGGCGGGATTTTGCAGGGCACGGGGCCAGGGTGGGGAGGGGGGGTGCGGGGGGGTGTAGTAGGCACGGCCTCGTGAATAAGCCAGGGAGAGCGAATGCCAGGAAGTGGCAGGCTACAGGGTTCCAACCAGCTGTGTTCTCAGCACAGCTCGGGTCCTTTAAGACACATTTCTGGAAAAACTCCGGTGTTTGGGTAGGATCGCATGTGAAGTGCCATTGCTGAGTTCGTCCCTCATCGTACTCTGCAAGCTGCGCTGGCCTGAGGTGGGGGCTGCATGCCCCGAGCCAACATGGCTTCACTGCCCTAATGCTGAGGGTCTCAGCCACTAAACACAATCCACACAGGAGAAGAGAACTCACGAACACACACACACACACTACACATGAAGAGCACATACATTCGGCTGGCCGTAAAGTGCTAAAAAACCGACAGTTCATTTCAGCCAACAGTGCACTTAACATGTCGTGGACACACACACACACACACACACACACACCAGCAGCTGGGGTTAGCTCGGAGCTAGCTGGTTAGTCACCAGGGAGACAGGAACACACACCGTGGACGGCGCTGGGCGTCGCATTAGTTACCGTGAGTCTAGTGGGAGAGGAGAGCAGCCCGGCCCTGTTACGGTGCCAGCGTGTCCTCTGGGGCAGGCTTTCCGAGGAAGCGGGAGACAAGCAGGACCCTGTCCCAGCTCACCAAGGTGGAAAAGCAGGGAAGGGAAAAAACCAAAGTAAGAAGAAAAGCAGCAGTCACCATGCCATGCAGGATTCTGGGGACACCTCCTGCCCCTGTGCTGACTCCGAAGCAAGAGCTACGAGGGCCAGCCCACCGCGTCCTGGGTTAGTCTCAAGATGGACAGTGATGGCCCAGCCACCGCTAACCCCGAAAACGCTCACCATGCAGGGGGTGCGGTCAGTAGAGCAGGAGCATTCCACGCACTGGACACTCAGACTCGTCAGAGCACAGCACTCCCCGACTCGGGCCACAGAGCCCACGGACAGGCCCCGCTGCCCCCACGCGGCCCCCGCGTGCTCCCAAGTCACATTCCAAGTGGTTAGCCAGGTCTGTGCCTGCCACCCCACACGCCGGCTGGACTCCAGCCTCCACTCCCGGGCTCACCACCCAAGTCCCACAGTGCCCAGGGGGAGACTTCCAGCTGCGGCGGGCAAGAGAGGAGCTCCTTCCGTCAGATACACACCCCAGGCGCAAGCACGCTCCTGAGAAGCCAGAAACAGAAAGGCTATTTGTCTCTAGTGCTGGTCTATCTTGTTAGCAAACTCCGCTTCCCCATCTGCGTGAGTGCAGCCACCATCGTGGCCCGACTGCTTCGGCTCGGGCGGGCGGGGCCTACACAGGAGAGCCACGCTGGGCAGGGGCACAACTTCTTCCTGACGAAGCCGTTATATTTAACCAACTGGAAAGAAAAACTGCATGCGATCATTGCTAAGAAACTCAAATGAAGCTCTTAAACCGCAAGGTGAGGCCGTGGCTGAGGTTCTGGAACACGGGTACATGGCCGGCGCTTCCCTGCAGAGAGGCCGCAGCAGGGATCAGTGTTGTGGTGCACACGGAACAGCGGCCCGCTGCTGGAGTTGGGGCAGCCCTTGTGGAGACTGACTCGGACATGGCAGCCAAGAACAGCTGGCTCTCTGCAGTCCTCCTCCCGCAGAAATACAGACACATTTAGAAACCCTGGCCCTGCCCTCCGCCCGCCCTAGAAGGCGGCGTCCCTTACCCAGTGTAGTCCCGTGTAGAGCTCTTCCTTCTGTAGAGGACAGCCAGAACCATGCTGATGAGCAGCGTGAGGCCGAGGACCACAGCAGTGACGATACCCACCACCACCCACACCGGGAACAGGGCCAAGCTCTCTGGAGAGGAAGAACGAGACGGATTTAGGGTGTGTTACTGGCTCCCTCGACCAGCAAGCGTCTTCCTGTAACAGTGGTATGTGGCTCAGTTTCCTCGTGCCAATTACGGGATCCTGGCACCTCACTGGCATGGACTACCAGCCACGAGAGGCAAGTACGGGGTGAACATGGTCATGCCCTCCACCCCTCGATGCACCCAAATCAAAGACAAACTGCAAACGCGAATTTACCTCTAGCTTCTCTCCAGCAAAGCAGACTTTTTTTTTTTGGAGAGGTTTTTGCTATAAGGCGCATGCGCTCACCAGACAGAGAGACAGAAAGCAAGAAATCACCCCCCGGGGGGTATGGCCACACCACAATCCCTTCTCCATTCTCCTCTCAGGATCTTGGGCACGCACGCACACGTGCCTGGCGTGAGTTTAAGCCACCGGGTCCAGGACGCGAACTGTGGTCGACTACATGGGAGCCCAGCGACATAGCCATTACACTAACTGCTGGTCCCACCAGCAAAACAGACTTTTGTCTCAAAATGAAACACCAGAACCTGCATTTCCTGCTTGCTTTCGAAAAAGGGAAGAAATGACTACTGTTTTTGGAAATGTCAAACTTTCTCCCAGAGACTATCAGGAATGATGTAGTCTCCTTTCCCACTGCCCACGCCCAATCTCAGTGCAGCGCGCCTGGTTTTCCTCTGAGCTAACGCGCCCGATCTCGGTGCAGCGCGCCTGGTCCTCCTCTGAGCTAACGTGCCCGATCTCGGTGCAGCGCGCCTGGTTCTCCTCTGAGCTAACACTAGCAAATTAACCCTCCGGAACCCAGAGCACAAGCTCTGAAACGGTGAGCAGGGGCGCCACGCACACACTGCTTCACACACACCTGGAAAGGGGGCTCTGGTTCTCCCTGTACCTGAGCCGGGCCGGCGTGACCGCGAACACGCCAAGTACCTTTCTCAACGATGTACAGCCGGATGTGTCCGGGCTGCACCACGATGTCGGGAGGGTTTTTGACGTCACAGATGTAGGTGCCGTTGTGTATAAACTGCATGTTCTCTATGTGGATTGATGCGTCTTTCTTGTCGAGATCTCCAGCCCAGCTGATTCTGTCCTTAAATAGAGGATAATTCCCAAGGTACACTTTCCCTTGGGAGTAGTGGAAAAACTGCAATTAGGAAAAAAAAGAACACATGAGCTATTCTCAAAGGCAGAATCCCTAAACTCTGTAACAGCAGTGCTGTGAAAGGGTCTTTCACTTTTAAAATTTTGCCAAAGGGCAGATACGCCAGGCAGAGATGGAAGACAGCACCTCCCACAGGGCACGGTCCCCGGATCCCTCCTCTTCTCTCTCGTTGAGATTTGGGGCATATGTGTACACATGCCCAGGATGTTTTCCAAGCCGCTGGGGCCAGGATTTGAACCACATGATGGGCCACCTGAGATCGGGCTCGCTTAGCCACTAGACTACAGAGCTGGCCTGACAGAGTTCTTTTAAAAACTCTTCACACAGGGGACCAGCTGTTGGCGTAATGGCTATGTCGTTGGACTCCTATGTAGTCTACCATGGCTCGAGTCCTGGACCCGGCGGCTTAAACTTATGCTGGGTACATAGGCATGCATGCCCAACGGCCCGAGAAGAGAATGGAGGAAAAGGGATTGCGGCATGGCCATTCCCCCTGGGGGGGGGTGTTTCTTGCTTTCTGTCTCTCTGTCTCTCTCTTTCTGGCTAGTGCACGCGCATTATAGCAAAAACCTCTGCTGGTTAGGTCCCCCGCAATTAAAAAAAAACCCCCCCAAAAAAAAAAAAAAAAAGGAAGTTAGAGCCAGCTCCATGACAAGTGGTAACAAGCTTCTCAAGAGAAGGTGGAGTGGCCAGCAGATGGTGTAGTGAGTGAGGTGCTAGACTCCCATATGGCCACGTGTGGTTCGAGTCCCAGACCTAGTGGCTTGCTTTCTCACTTTCTCTCTAGTGAGCGCACATGCCCTATAGCAAATTTAAAATAATAAAAATAAATAAGTTAAATAATTCTTTTTAAAAAGAGAGAGCAGCAGCTGGATCCTACATAGCAACCTCGGTTCAAATTCCTAGCCTGGTCAGCCTGAGACACACCGGGCACTCGAGTGCCAGGACCAACAGGCAGGAGGGCTGGGAAGAGGCCTGTGGCAGGCTGGCCACGAGAGCGCCCTGCCCCTCGCGCTCACGTGCACGCACTCGATCACGGACAGAGGGAGAGCGCAGGGCCGTCAGTCAGTGCCTTCCCACTGGATGGCGCCTTGACCCGGGCTCATCTCCACAGGAACCAGCTCTGATGAGACCACACACGAAGCGAAGCCATACGGGCCTGACGTAAAGCCCTGCCCTTCCAGGGGCTGTGGTCACCTGTGTGCACACCCCGTTTCCCAAAGGAGACATGGGGCGCTCAGTCTGGACGTGCAGACCGGAGGTGGCTCTGTTCTTTCAAGAAGGCCACAAAGCCTTTCACAGACACACAGCATTAAAAACAAAACAAACACAAAAGCCACATTGCAGCTCGCACAGCTGCTGTCAGGGAGGGGCCCTGTGGAGACCCCGGCCTGCAACCTCAGTGGGTGACGTCGTGCCCAAGGGAGCACTGGCTGCTGGCGGGCAGGTCTGAGCAAGGCCTTGCCCCTGTCGTCGGTGTGTCCCTGCAGTGCTAGCGTTCCGTGGGAGGGCGGAGGTCAGGAAACGTCGAAGGGCTCCGTGAGGCGGAGTCATGGGAAAGGTGGCACGAGGAGCCTGCCCGGGCCACGGGAAGCCTGCAGGCCGTGAGCATCACTCCCACAGTCCCATCTGGGAGGAGCAGCGTGGAAGGAACTCGTACACCTGAGCCCAGCAAGCTTGGCTGAACCTTCTGGCCTATGTGCCATGCTGTGGCCACAGTGGCACGAAGACCGAACAGCACAGGCTGAGGGGTCCGGCACTGGGGCTGACTGACGAGTATCGCTCCCCGTCACCGGGAGAGCTGGCTATTCTCGCTGTCTGACAGGCAATGGCCCCGCCCACGGAGGCACCAGTACTGAAGGCATTTGGGGGCTGATGGCGCCACAGGAGTGTCACAGACTAGACAGGTGAGTGCTCCACCCCGAGGCGCTGTCAGAGCACGTCGCCAATCCAGGCCCCCGCACCTGTCCCACAGCATCAGCGGGTACCGAGCGACCTGCCTCCAGCTGCATGGTGCCTCATCTTACTTGGAGGTCATCTCCATACAGACTGACTCCAAGTCCTTTCCCAGGCAGGGCCGAGACAGCCCAGGCCCTGCCGAGACCCTGCAGCCCTCTGCACGGAGACTCTGGGATGCACTGCTGAGTCAGATGGACCACGCATAAGCAGAGAAACTCAAATCAGAAGGAGCAGCCCTCTGTTTCAATGCATTTAGGGATATGTAAAAGAAAAGGAAAAAGAACCAGGGCAAATGGGAGCTAGAAAGATGCAGACTAACCTGTGCCTTCAGCCAGCATGGCAAACTAAGGACTGGTATGGAAAAGAGCAAAATTTTATTGGAGAGGTTTTTGCTATAGGGCGTGTGCACTCACCAGAAAGAGAGACAGAGACAGAGAGATTCTCAGAAAGTGAGAAGTCACCCCCAGGGGGGATGGCCATGCTGCAATCCCTTCTCCTCCATTCTCCTCTCTGGATCTTGGGCACGCACGCACACACGCCTGGCATGAGTTTAAGCTACTGGGTCCTGGACTCGAACTGTGGTCAACTACATGGAAGTCCAGCGACATAGCCATTACACTAACTGCTGGTCCCGAAAAGAGCAATTTTTTCTTTTCTTTTTTTAAAGAGAGATTTTTTGCTATAGAGCACGTGTGCTTGCCAGAGAGACAGAGAGAGAGAAAGCGAAATCACTCCCCGGGGTAATGGCCACACCACAGTCCCTTCTCCTCCAGTCTCCTCTCAGGATTTTGGGTACACATGCATACATGCCTGGCATGAGTTTTAAGCTGTCGGGTCCGGGACTTGAACCATGGTCGACTATGTGGGAGTCCAGTGATATAACCATTACACCATCTGTTTGTCCCCGAAAAAGTAAATTCGAGGTTGAGACCTGATGGTGGAGGGGCTGGGGCTGGCGAGGGTGGATGGGTTGTGAAATGAGGAAACGGCTGCACCTGGGCATGGGACTTGCTGTTTCCGAAAGGCTGAAGAAAGAGAAGGCCTTGGAGCCTGCTGGGGTAACCCGCACTGTCATGGAGACAAAGGGTCAGAAGGGATCCCTCAGTACGCTACGCACCCACCGCCTAGAACCGATGAGGTGGGACCAGCCCAGAGCAGCCCTGCACTCTCACCGACACGGTCGTGTCCGCCCCCTCCGGCTGGAAGCTCCAGGAGACCGAGGTCAAGCCGCCAGTTGTGTTGGTGGACTTGAATGTGCAGGTCAGCTTCCCCTGGGTCCCATTGGCCACGAAGATCTCTTTGGGTGTGTACACCTCCAAGGCTGACACCCCCGCTGTCACTGCAGAAAGAGGAACAGGATCATTTAAGGTAGGACTTAGCATGAATTCCACCGTGTGTACCTGTCAGAGAACACGGCAAAGGTACAAGAGAGTCACCAGATGCACGCGGTCCCCACGGCATTACACAGTATGGTTCTGCATGCTCCACATGCGACAGCACAGAGCTTCCTTCAGACACTGCTGAGGGGCCAAGTCCTCACATTTCAGGTTATTTTCTCACTTGCTACAGGACACATGCACGTGCCAGAAAGAGACAGACAAGAGAGAGAGAGAGAGAGAGAGTGGGATAGCTCCCCCCGGGGAGATGGTCACGCCATAACCCCTTCTCCCCTCTCTCTCTCCTTTGGGGATTTTGGGTGAACACGCATGCACCCTGTGTGTTTTTCAAGCTGCCAGGTCCAGGACTCGAACTATACAGTCAGCAATGAGATCTATCTCAGTCACCACATCATTGGCCGGCCTTCGGCCTCTGCATCTTCCAGAACGCTACAGAGTTGCGGCCTCACGGCATGTAGCCATTTCCGACCTGCTTTTCTCTTAGTACTCATTCAAGCTGTCTTTCTGTGTCACAAACTCTCACTTGTATTTATCACTGAAGGTAGTTCATGGCACACATGTGCCGCCGTTTAATTTGTTCACCTATGTTAGAACTTCTGGGTTGCTCGCCTCACAGTCTGCGTTTTAATGACAGAGAGGCACCTGCAGCAGGGTTTGCCACCCCCAGCCTGACACCCTGCCAGGATTGTGGCGTGTGTGCACCAGCCCGTGCACCACGGTTCGGCTCGGCCTCGAGAGGGATTCCTGCCATTCCAGTCCTCTGCTCCACCCTCGCTAGCGAGATGGCAGGGCGCACTGCCATGCCTGGCCTGTCCGGACAGTCAGGATTGGAGCCCAGGCCTCCCAGGGCCACAACCTCACACAATGGCACCCTGCTGCAGTACCCCTGGGCTGGGCCCTGCTGATCTTTGTTCAACGTGAAGGACATACTTTCACTTCTTCCAAAGTTCCCATATGCACCTGTTACTCTTCGACTGACAGCACATTCAACTTTTCCCCTTCCATATTCAAAGCAATTCAACTGTTCTAAGAAAGAATCACTTTTGGGACCAGCAGTTAGCGTTAATTGCTATGTCGCTGGACTCCCACATAGTTGACTGCGGTTCGAGCCCCGGACCCGGGTGGCTTAAACTCACGCTGGGTGCGTGTGTGTGCGTGCCCATGATCCCAAGAGGAGAAAGAAGGGATTGCGGTGTGGCCATCCCCCCTGGGGGATGATTTCTCGCTTTCTGTCTCTCTGGCAAGTGTAGCAAAAACCTCTCCAAAAAAAAAAAAAAAGGAATCACTTTATTTTAAAGACATGTTTGTTATTTAATTGATTCTCTTCCTATAAAGAACTTAGCAAAATTTTTCCATAATGCATTGCTTTTGTTACTGGAATCTTAGCAATGTAAGAAGGGTGTGCCAGGTTCGCGTGTATTCACATACCACACTGTCACATTTTCACTTTACCACGGAGGTTTTACCACTTAGAATATAGAAACAGCTCTTTTTCCAAGCAATTACAGAAATCCGAGCAATTACAGAAATTAAGGATCTCTGCTAAAATAAGACAGTCTTCACTCAAAAAGAGATTCTTTCACAGACTGAAGGTTAGAGAGAAAGTTATGCCGCCTAAAATTGGTAACAAATTAAATACCCACCTTCAAAATAAGATTAAGAAAAAGTGTGGCGAAACATCTGCAATGTCCCATTATTCTCAGACGTAGCAGTCTAGTAGAACAGAAGGGGCATTGTCGCCGGACCGAGGGTCATCTGCAGAACTCTGACTTCCCGAGGGCTGGGCCATGACTCCAGGCCAGGACCAGCGCACACCCCATTCCTCCCAACCCCCTTCCAAATGTTTATTCTCGGGACACAATGGGCACTTTTGGCTATTCTTTTAAATAAACTGATAGCCACACTGCATAAAGCAGATTTTTTTTCTCCTAGAGAGGGTGGATTATTATTATATGGAACAATGGATTATTATTTGCGGTCCAAACCTCAAAACAAGCCCTTCATTCAGAGGAGAAGCAAACAAAAGCCTTTCCCTGCTACTGAGGGCAGGGGGGGCAGCCGTGGCACCTGAGTTCACCGCCAAGGTCAGCAGGCCCAGCCCCTCTACCAGGAAGCGGCCTGGGTGGGAGGCACCTGCGCTGTGTGATGGTGACTCGTTCCCCCCGGGGGTGAGCACTGCCAGGGAAGCCCCGGTCTTCAGGGTCCTGAAAGAGGTTTCTCAAGGATTTTCTCAAACCAGATCCTTGCCTCAAGGTCTGGTTGTAGGAACAGTTTGTGAGACACCATTTCAAAATGGAACTAGATTTTGAGCAAAAAACACAAACCAAATTCTAAAGTGGCTTTTAGACTACTTAAGATGAACTTAACTCAATAAACAAGTGGCTTTTTAAAAACACAGACCACTGGGCATGCTGTGTGGCCTGGTGTAAGGCAGCCGGATCACACCCATACGGATCGAGCCCTAAGACCCACCAGCACCCTGACTCCTGACTCCTTCGGGTGCACAGGAAGCTCTGGTCTCTCTGGGCTCGCACCCCACGAGTCTGCATCTGCCTTACTCAGACCGGGTCCCGAGGTCCATCGACACGCTCGCCCCCTTGCCTGTCTCCCTCGCCGTGACTTGGAGAAACCCTTGACCCTGGTCACACCATTTTCTACCCATTCTGCGTCTCTGCCAGGACTCGGACCATGCCCGGAGGGAGGGCACGCAGTCCACTGAGTGGCTCGCCTCGCTCATGGCCACACCTACAGGCACTCCTAGTGCTGCTGTGACCCCCACACCCTGAGCCGCCCTCTCCACCGGGGATCATTTTACACCTTCCTCTCTCCGCTCCAACCTCTCGCTCTCAGCCCATGGCTGTGCATGGCGGGAGGCTGGATTGTCAGGGCAGTGATGCCACGCTCTGGGGGCTGGCCCTCGGGCGAAGGTCAGGACTCATCTGGAGATACACCGTGCACACGGGTGTCCAAGACCCAGGGCTGGCCGAAGCTAGGGGTGGGCTGCAAGGTGGATCCCTATTGTGGATACTGTCTGTCTGTCTCTCTCTGCCTCTCTTTGTCATGGAAGAAAAAAAGGTTTTTTTAAAAAAAAGTGGGACTAGCACATGGCCTAGTGGTTAAGGTGCTGGACTCCCACATGGTCAACCACAGTTCAAATCCCAGACCCAGTGGCTTAAAACTCATGCTGGGTGCATGTGCCTCCATGCCAAAAATCCCAAGAGGAGAACGGAGAAGGGACTGTGATGTGGCCATCCCCCCGAGGGGTGATTTCTTGCTGTCTTTCTATCTCTTTGGCAAACACACACACACTCAATAACAAAAATCTTAACCAAAAAAAAAAAAAAAAACCTTTTAAAAAGGAAAAGATAGAGACCAACAGATGCCATAATTGCTGGACTCCTATGTAGTTGACCATGGTTCAAGTCCCAGACCTGGCAACTTAGAACTGATGCTGGGCATGGGACCAGAAGATGGTGTAATGGTTATGCTGCTGGACTCCCACGTAGCCAACCATGGTTCAAGTCCCAGACTGGGCAGCATAAAACTCATAGCAGGCATGTGTGCATGCGTGCCTGGAATCCCAAGAGGAGAATGGAGGAGAAAGGATTGTGGCATGGCTATTATCCCTGGGGGGTGATTTCTTGCCTTCTGTCTCTCTGGCGAGTACATGTGCCCTGTAACAAAAATCTCTGTAAAAGAAAACAAGAAAGAAAAAAATAACAAAAGTAAATAAACAAGTAAAGAAAATGCACACCAGGTCCTGTTACTCCTCTGCTCACAACCCTCACTGCCCTGGCTCCCCTCAGACCTCATCTCTCACACGGCCCCTCCCACGTACGGCGGCCACTCCCCAACCACCATCCCCACAGACCGTGGGGTCTCTCTGCCTGAGGGGAGGGTGCCCCAGGTGGAGAACGCTACGGATTTCGCTGGGCGAAACCCAGGAATCATGATGTGAGATGAGGGGACAGGCTGGGGTATACAGTGTGCACGGCAGGCCACAGGGGCCCCTCCCGCTGGAGACCTGTGCCAGGCGGTCCGATGAAGTGCTGTCACCTCCAGGCACAGCCAGCACTGGGGCCCTGGGACCTGCCGTGATGGCGGCCAGCATGTCATGAGGGGCGCGCTGTGTGGGGCAGAGAGAAACCGAAGCCCCGCTCTCCTGCTCAGCCCATGCCATGGGGAGCCCTCGCTTAAACAATTGGGAATGGCTGCTTTGTCCGGCCCTTACTGGCGTGACCAGAGCATCGTGGAAACACATAGTGAAATTACTGTGAATTCAGATAGCTGTCTCCAGAGTCATAAAAGGAGCCAGTTAAATGGCTAAAATGCAAATGCAAGGAACATTGGGACACACAAGAGTTACTGTTCCACCCCACGCGCCCTGTCACTGGGCTGGCATCCCAACGTGAACGAGACAGCCCCTGCTGTGAAATGCACTCAAGGACTGGTTCGAAACTCAGACGAGACCCAGACCCCGAGGCTGGAGGGCAGGGACAGATCGCAGTGAGCATGGCTGCTGTCTCTCAAACATCATCATGGAAAAAAAAAAAAAAAAAGGAAAAACTCATGGATAGAAGAAAAAGGTTTTCTGTTGAGTCCTGTTAAAAAAACCAGCATTTCTGTCTTTATTTCCAAAAATAAAGACAGAAATGCCAGGGCCAGCAGGTAGCACAGTGGTTAGGGTGTTAGACTTCCACAAGGCCGACCACAGTCCCACGCTCGGACCTAGTGGCTTGGAAATCGTGCCGGGCACGTGTGCACATGCGTGTGCGTGCATGTGTTTGCACTGCACCCTAAATCCCAGCAGGAGTATAGAGAAGGGACGGCTGCGTGGCCGTGCCCTCTGGGAGGTGATTTCTCACTTTCCCTCTCACTGTGTCTCTCTGCCTCTTTCAACAAACACATGTGCCACAAGGCAAAAACCTTAAAGCACACACAC